AWWATAKAGTGCACACCAAAAAAGCATGAAACAATTAATAAGATTTAGTTATCAACTAACTAAGAATTCACTGGGGCATGAACATAATGCCAATGTCTTTGTTTATGCCTCACTAAATTCTTAGTTAATTGATAACTGAACCTTATTAGGCGCTAATTACATGCTTATGTGGCGYGCACTCTATTCATGTTTGACATATTGTACTACTTCGTTGAAATCCATATAGAAATTATCTTTGAGCAAATGTCCCTTCACACACCAAGATTTGCCTGAATCTTTGACTGGCTCTTAATTTTTGCACTGCAAAGAACTATTAAATATATAATTTAAATAAATTTTCAAATCAAATTATAATTGGTTTAGTTGTGGCATGGAGGATGATTTCTTGAAGTACGCAATTGTGATTGCACACTACATTAACCATGACTCATTATTTCATGCTGCTTCATTCTTATTATTCATCTCTCATTTCTTTACAGGTACTCTTTTGGTAAGTATCACATTGTTTTTAGGATTCGTTATAATAGTTCATACATCAAATAATCTTTTTTATATTTTTGTTGTTGTCAGGTTGGGAGTCTCAGCTCCTTGAGACAGGTTTCCTTGCTATTTTCATGTGTCCTGTATTCAAGCTACAGAAAGTTCCTCGCCACACCCCCACCCCCTGGGTAGTAATTTATGGCTACAGATGGTTAATCTTCAGGATTATGCTGGGAGCTGTAAGTATCAAATAGTTGGTGGTGTTACATTCTGCCTATGTTTTTTTAGATGCGCATATGATTTAAAACAAAGTTTGTACTTAAGATATAATCATGAACAATATACATTTGGACACAATAAACAGTTACTTGAAGTAACACATCTTGTTAGTTTTCTACTGACAAGCTACACTATTTCCTTGTGTTCTGTTATTATAAGAAAGTTTTTATCTTATTTTTTAGGGATTGATAAAGATAAGGGGAGACAAATGTTGGAGAGATCTGACTTGTATGAATTACCATTATGAGGTGCTACTAACTTAAATCTATCACTGATTATAATTATTATTTAAAAGATGAATGAAATGGAGGTCTCAGGTCCACAAACTATACGTTTTTACTTTATTATTTTAAATTATGATGCATAATGACGTGCACTGTCTAAGTGAATCCAATTGACATTCATGTTTAGTGAATCAACCAAGATTATGTTTTATTTAATCAAAGCAGTTTTGATTAAGCACTGGTTGTTTTGCAAAGCTACATGCTATATGTTTTTATGTCATTTTTGGTGAAATGAAAGCTGCATCACTTGTGCAGCTATGAGTGGCCTTATAAACATTTCTTAAAACTTGTTTCTTAAAACTGAAATAAACTATATGAGCAGGAGAGAAAAATAACAATAAAAATAAATTTATGGGAACTATATTTTGACAAACATTTTACAGTATAAGTATTTGTTTTTCATTTCAGACGCAGCCTGTTCCAAATCCGATAAGCTATTATCTGCATCAGTCGCCTGAAATCTTCCACAAGTTTGAAACTCTCAGTAACCATTTTGTTGAACTGGCTGCACCATTCCTTCTCTTTCTTCCTCGTCCATTCAGAATCACTGGAGGGATTATTCAGATTGCATTTCAGGTATGTGCAATTAAGAGTTAATTCATCCCCAAAATAATGCACTTGAATCATTCCTTTGTAGTTGATAAGAATGCCTAGTGGCTGCAGATATAGGCTATGCTGCAATGCTATTGTGGACATTTTATTATAGTTTAATAGGCCCTGTACTGCTGGGGGTCATATCACAACATGATATCCAGAAATATAAACGTTGATGCAGGTAAAATGGCAAAGTTTCAAATCTCAAAACTAAATACTTCAAAAATGGCAGCAAAATGTGAAACCTTCATTTTTTTTAAAGAAATGTA